TTATGACATTCTGTGGGTGTGGTTGTGAAGAAATAGGCAGATACATATTACTGCTAATAGGACTGCTGTAACCAGAGTCCTTATAACCAGAATTTAGCAATAGCTAAAAAAATTGCATTTGCAATTGTACTTCAGCTCAACAATGCTATTCCTAGGAATTTACCTTAAAGATTAACCTCCATAAATACAAAATAGTGTACATCCCTTTCTTGTTCCTAAATTGTTGGTTAGTGTCGTGATTCTTTTTGTTGTAACTCTCTTTTTTTAAGCTTTCGTCTTTCGCTTTTTAAATTTCTGCCTTCGTCTTTATGATTTTCATCTTTATTGGGCTTGTGAAGCACGTTGTTCTCTTTTCAAACTTCCAGGAAAAAAAAAACCAATTTACACATTTTAATTATTCCCTGTTTTCTAATAAATGAATTATTTTTGTCTCTATGTAATTTTTTTCTACTTGAATTATTCATAACTAGAAAAGGTGTGTTTAAGTTATTTACTGTTTTGTAGATTTTTCCATTTCTTCTTTTACTTATGCTTCCTAGTATTTTGGGTATGTCTTTATTAGCAGTATGAAATGGATTAATACACTAGCTTTTTAAGTCTTTGACTACATTGGATGCCACTCAAAACAACATGAATATAGTTTTAATTCCTGTGATGTTTACAGCATGGTGCCAGGAGCTAAAGATGAAATATATCTGCATTTACATACAGCAAAATAGATCTGAGAATGGTTTTCTGTTCCATGTGCACACAAACCAACCTGCCTAGATATGAAATTCTTTAATCGTATGCTTTCCCTCAGACCTGCACATTGTTTCACTATCTTCAGAAATTTTGTACAAAACAAAAGTTTAATGCCCATCTGATTTCTTTCATACTTTATACACTATAACTACTTCTTTTTTTGCCCAGATGCTAATAGGATTACTTTCTCAATCTTTTAAAGTTTTTTAGCATTTCTATTTTTGCTCTGCAGGGAGAGGAGGAATCATTCAGTATGATCCTGTAACTGTGGTTTTCTTCTATCATGTCTTGGATTGTTGACTTTATGCCAATTAGTCTTCTTTTTTCCTGAGAAACACCATAATTGGGTTTATTGCCTATTCTCTCTTTATATCTGCCAATTTTTCTCTTATTATTTCCTATCCATTTCTAACAGGCATACTCAAAAACACCCTAACTAACTAAATTCATCACTAACTAGAGTTTCCAGTGTGTCAGTTTTGCTTCTGTATTGACTTTAAACTCTATTTAAATTCTTCTATTGCATCTATTGCATTTTTTGGTTCCCCTAGTGGTCTGTTTTTATCTCATATAGCTTTTTCACATCTTAGAGTTTATCTTCATGGTACTGCACTTCAATTCTGTAGATTTTGTGTCTTCTTAAACCCTATTAATTATGCCCAAACGTTTTCTTAAATTTTCTTCCAATTCTTGCTGTATCATTTTATGAAGCCAGTCTCTCCTCTCTCTCTCTCTGTCCTTTCTCTCTCTCATTTATAACATAGAGACAGATGTCTCTTCTTATATGGCATTTATTTTTTTCATACCTTACACTTTTTTCCCCATTTATTTAATCTTGAACATGGAACGATCTATTCAGAACCTATGTGTGTCAACAAAGGGTGTGTGAGTTTCTCAGCCCAACTGTTGTACCCTGGATTGCTTTTAAAATCTTTTTCACCAATCTGTAACTAAAACTTTGTTGATGCACATGAAAGAAAACATTATTTAAAGGGGAAATTTATTGTATTACAATATGAGCATTTATAAATTAAATGTTAAGTGTATGTTATACTTAATATAAATACTGTGACTATATTAAGTACTAGTTAATATGCTTAATAACTATATTAATATGCTTAATATACTTAAGTATGCACATTTGGGGATATTTTCTGTTTTTATTGGGTAAAAAAAATGGATTCTTTTATTTGAGTAAAAGGAAAATAAAATGAATTTGGGAAACTAAGAATACAAGATGGGTGGTGTGGATGAAGAACACATTCGAAGTTGACATTTAACTGTGGACAAGGAAATCCAACCACAACTGCACAAGCTTCCTCACCCTGTTGCTCCAATTGGACCTCCGCCTCAGGTTAATGATATTATAATTTTTTTAAATACCATCATGCGAAAGCAGTAAACACCAATTAGAAATGAAGCAACACATGTTCTGGCTTGTCCCAGCTCAAGGAAAAAGCCACAGGAGAGTTTGAGGAGTATGCACTAGACAACGTATGAAGTTATATGGGGGATTTAAATTGAAATGCAGTTGAACATACAGATTCTGTGAACTAGAAAGTATCATGGAGCCTGTTGAGTACTATATGTCCATGGTTCTCTTACCAGAATATTTAGTCAGCGTAAGTGAAACAATTGTTTTTGAATCTACATTGCCTCATCTGTTTTACCTGTCAACATTGCTATATGGAGGAAACTTTAAACTGAGGAAGGGAGGAGCTCATTCACTTGTTGATTTAAAATCATGCTCTGGTTGGTTTTCCAGCAATTATAGCTGCCTATTGACTTGCATGTTCTTTCTGCCCCTGGATACCATATTGCTGGGTCAATCTTGCTAGTGCAAGAAAAATGAAGAGTCAGGAACTCTCTATTTGGACCATAATTTCCAGTGTCTAAGAGGCTTCTATCTAGTGTAGTTCTGCTGGACTCAGGTAAATCCTCTCCTCCCTGTGTAGGCTGGCTGTGGTACAATTTGAACAGACAGTGTAGATGAAATATCCAAGAACACTGCCACCAAGGCTCTTCCTGCCCTTGGCTTCACCAAAAGTATTTTATTTGTGATAACTAAACTGCCTAGAATGGAAGGAACAAATGCCTGTCCTCACCTTCTTCCAAGTCATAACTGGGGAGCCATTCAGTCTTCAAATGGCTGCAGAATAAAACAAACTAATAAGAAAGACAGAGGGTGAGGGACAGCAGCAAGTATAAAGTAGAGAGATAGATGTCCAGAATTCAGGTTGGGAGAGAGCTCTGTGTTTCTGAACTCAGAGGAAGGCAGCAATGGGAGGAAACAAGCAGACTGACTCACTGGCGATGGGATGCAGGTGACCTGTCAATGATGCCTCACCACCCAGCCTCATTAACTTGTAGTCAGCAGGGGCCAGACGTGGTGGCTGATGCCTGTAAACCCATCACTTTGGGATGCCAAGGCAGGCAGATCACTTGAGGCCAGGAGTTTGAGACCAGCCTGTCCAACATGGTGAAACCCTATCTCTACTTAAAATACAAAAATTAGCTGGTCGTGGTGGCAGGCTTGAGATTCACTTAAACCCAGGAGGCAGAAGTTGCAGTGAGCCAAGACTGCACCACTGCACACCAGCCTGGGCAACAGAGCAAGACTCCATCTGTGTGTGTGTGTGTGTGTGTGTGTGTGTGTGTGTGTGTAACTTCCCAGCAACTTTGTTTACAAAGACTCCATCTTAAAGAAAAGAAGAAAAATAAAAACTTGTAGTCAGCAGAAATTTATTTTATATTCTGATGATCAGCTGGCTATCGCTCTTCGGTTTTAGCATTTTGAATTTTCATCCTTTTTATATGCCTTCATATGTAATTATGATGGAAAGTTGTGATAAATTATTATTGGGATAAGATGTATTTTTCCTGTAACTGAGATGAATTGTTAGTTTCATGGATTATGTATTTTTATATTTTTGGATGAAAAATTTTAAAGTTAAATTTATATCCCTAAAAAAATCAGTTGTCAACACATCATATATATTTTAACTAATAAAAATGCTTTATTCATTCAGAAGAAACTTTTTAGTAAAGCAAAGTTTAGTAAAGAATGTTTACTAATTTACATAAAGATGTAAGATCCTTAGTTTTCCTCATTATTGTAAATAGATACATTCTGCCTCTCATGCTTCAAAATATGAGAAATCCCAATATAAACGAAAAAAAATGTGTTTACCAAGTAATAGAACAAGAACAAAACAAATGCCAGACACTGCAGGCCTCATACAGGTCACGGTTTCCAGCTCAGTGTCTGACAGTGATGCCAAGTCAGACATGGAAACAGCCCCCAAAACATTAACCCCAAAATGAACCACAGGGGACACGAAGTTTTTGGATATCTGAAATAAATTTGACCCATGGGACACGCGTTCTGGAAAAGGCACTGCCTCAAACGGCCTCACGTTACCAGCGACAAATTCTTTTAGGTTGTCAGTGAGCTTCAGCAATGAGAAGGTTGTATGGAGAACATGAAACTTGTCTCTCAAAGCACAAAGAAATCACTGGGGCATGTGAGAAAAGGGAGAGGAGGCTAGCACGAGAGCAGGTGTGGTTCACCTGCCTTCTCCCCCAAAAACTGCTGCGGCCACGCTGAATAACATGGTGGCAGGTAGAAGGAGGACAGCGACAAGGCAGGCCAGGGAAACTGAGCCACAAGCAAGACCTGAAGCCCACCTCTATAGGAAAGAGACTGACTCCAAAGAGACGTGAGTCAGACACGTTGGTGGTCATGGTAGAACTCTCAGCTAAGGCAGAAATTAAGAATTCAGATGGCCACGCCAGAGAACAGAGGCCCTGAGTCCATGAGTAGGAACACTCAGGGGTCAGGACTTCAGTAGACTAGAGCTTGAGATGAGGCCAATGGCCTTCTTGACAATGGATTCAGGTTTTGTTTTGGCTTTTTGGCTTTTTTTTGAGGCAAGGTCTTGCTCTGTCGCCCAGGCTGGAGTGCAATGGTGCCATCTCGACTCACTGCAGCTTCTGCCTCCTGGGCTCAAACAATCTTCCCACCTCAGCCTCCCAAGTAGCTGGGACTACAGGTGCATACCACCATGCCCAGCTAATTTTATTTTTTATAGAGTCAGGGTCTCAATATGTTGCCCAGGCTGGTCTTGAATTCCTGGACTTAAGTGATCCACCTGACTCAGCCTCCCAAGAAGTGCTGGAATTAGAGGCATGAGCCACCATGCCCAGCCAACAAGTGTTTCTATGGACATCGTGTCCAGGCTCAAGCCTCATCTCACCGTGTGGCCTGGCATAAGACCTCCGGGAAGACACAAAAGTCCACGTGGCCAGAAGGCAGAGAGAGGGTAACAGGGAGACCAGCAGTCCACGATGGCAGCAGCACTCCTCTCCATGGCTGACAGTGCTGGGTGCATAAGAGTAACTAGCCACAGGTGGGAATTCTTGGAGCAAAGGGGAGGAGAGACAGAGGGAAGTGTTTGATGATAATGATGGGGGACTCGATAAGAAAAACTGAGACAAACCTCCTCTATATCCACTGGCCACTTTCCTGGGTCAGTGTCAAAATCATAAGACAAATATCATTCCCCTGCTCTATGCAAAATGAGTGCTGGTTGGGGCATGCATACATCTTTGAGCTATCAGTTAAATACACCCAGGTCTTACCTTCTCCTAGAAGAAAAGACCTCACAGGACATCTTCCATGCAGTAGGTGTCAAAGGAAGAATAGTGCATCTTGCCCAGTGATGACCACAATTATAACTACCCCAGAAACAGAGCTAAGTTTCCAAACACATTCCAGTCATGCATGTTCTCTTGCCAGCCATGTTAAAGTGGTTTCTGAGTTTGCCATCTCTTAGAAATAGTCTAATGACCTGAACTTTTGGGATTCTTTCAAAAGGAGGTAGGTACTGTTCTGAATTGTGCTGACTTTCAGGTCACAGAGGGCGAATTTATATGCTTGAACGTTTAGGGTAGAGAACAATAGCCCTTCAATACTAACAGACTCAGAAGAAAATAAGCTATAGGGTGACAGAAAGATCAAGATAAGCACAGGCTGATGGCTGGAGAATGAAGGGGATGCTTTAGATATTACCAACAACTTAAGTGCCCATGTTATGCCAGAGGAAGACTGTATTGATATTTTCCTCCAGCTACAAAGTATTAGAGCAGCATGCCCCTTTTAAGGAGAGCAGACCCTGCCATAGAAGAGAATGGTTTGGGTTTTGTTGTGTCTAATGAAAAACAGAAAAGGGTGGTTGGCATTAAACTCCACCCAAGTTGATAAGGACCTTTCCGAGACAACAGCCCCAGTGGCTGCAGCTGCCTGAGTGCCATTTTCATCCACCTCCACAAAAGTTTTGTGGACAATTTTTGACAAATACAAATTGGGACTTGGAGAGATTCCAGTAAGATCAGCCCTCGTTTGGTCAAAGATATCTGTAATGCCCATGTCTTGTAAAATGGAAATGAGATCATAGCTGTCTTCCAGGGTGAACTGGGGGAAGGATAGGACCACCGATTCTTCTGACATGTTTTCTGAGCTACTCCAGGCCGCTATTTTTTCATAGGTAATTTGTCTTTCAAGCTACAAGAGGAAAGAAATAATATTTAAGATCAGATTATGAGAACACAAAGAATCCCCCAATTACTTCAAAGTGCCTGAAGTGGTTGGTGACAACGTTCAAGGCCTTTCTCTAAGCCAGAGAATAGTCTGATTTCATTTGAAACTTCAAGCAAATATGTTTCTTCTTTAAAAGAAGATATGGGACAACTCAGGTTCCAGCATGCTTTGGTGTTTGACAGACAAGTGTTCAAAGCCCAGCAAAGCTCAGTCTATTAATTGGGTGCTGTGGCCAAGTCATAAGTTTCTGAAGTTAAATTTCCTCTTCCATTATATAGAGATAATACAATTAAGTTCTTGCAAACATGAACAAAATCATATGTATAAAGTACTTAACACAGTGATAGCACGTGGCAATTCCGAATAATGGTTGTTATTGATGTTGTAACTACTGTACCTGCTATATTGGTCTTTCTCTCTCACTTTGTGTCTTTCTTTTATCTCTTTACCCCTTTGGACAATACGTAGCTGAGTTTCTCCAGCCTTTATTAATTCCTACCTCACAAGCAATCTATTCTGCTGTCACTACCTATACTTCTGTCAAGGTACGTGTTCCCAAAAACAGGATTCAGCTAACAGGTCTTTAACTGAGCTATAGAAAAATGGTATGGGTAAGAGGCCAGACGTCAGGATACTCAGAGAAAAGGGGAAGCTTGAAAACTTCTCAAGTTACTTAGAACCCAGATTCCTTGTCTTGCTAAAACAGTTGCAGAGACCTATGAGATTAAAGAAGAAACTCCAATCCCAATATTTCTGGCATTTGTTGTTTAATTCTAAACAAATGAGGAATAAATAGCTAATCTAATTCAGATTCTTATATATTATTTGATGTCTCTGACAGGTGAGATACAGTATTGCCTTGGGAGAGGGTAGAACCGTGTCGTTCTCTAAAGATCTATTGTTAAATAATTTATAGAGATGTAGAAATGAAGAATTACCTCTTCCAGACCCTTCAAGTTATCTTCAGAGTCAGACGGCAGCAGGACAAACATGCTGAGCTTCCCCTTGGTATACCTCATTTCCAGGATCTGTGCCTTCAGCTCCTCTATGAAGCCAATTCTATAGAGGCCTTTTTGCATCATCATCTTCACACTCTTCTTTTCATTCTGCAGTAGTCAAGGTAGGAAGTCACAGGAGGGCTATGGGAAGCTCCCAAATTCATATGGCCCCAGCCTCACTGAGGACAGGGATTTCTGAAGATGAGAAGGGTCTCCAACAGTCCTGAGCTAGCCTACAAGAGTCTGCCCATTCATCCGTGGGCCCTACTTTGCCAATACTTTGTCTTTCCGTGTCTTTTTCGTTGTTGTTGTGGAGTGGGTGGGCGGGGGTGTTTGCTTGTTTTTGAGGCAGGGTCTTGCTCTGTTACCTAGGCTGGAGTACAGGGGTGCCCCTGCAGCTCACTGCAGCCTCGCTTTCCTGGGCTCAGGTAATCCTCCCACCTCAGCTTCCTGACTAGCTTGGACTACCAGCGCAGACCAGCATACCTGGCTAGTTTTTTTTATTTTTTGTAGAGACAGGCTCTCCCTATGTTGCCCAGGCTGGTCTCAAACTCCTAGTCTCAAGTGATCCTTCATTCTCAGCCTCCCCAAATGCGGGGATTACATGTGTGAGCCACCATGCCTGGCCCTTTTCGTGTTTTTAATCAGTTCTTCATCTCCCAAGATGATGATTGGTAGGCTTACTATCAAAGCATCTCCACTGCTAAGTCAGCAGAAACACAGCCTGCCAGCTGTCCCCCTGCAGGGCCTGCCCTGGCCCAGCCTGCTGGTCTCACACCACCCCATGCCATCTGGCCTGGATGACGCTGCCACACAGCACCAAGGGGAGCCATGGTTAAGGGAGAATCATCTCCATATTAAATAGCAACACTTGCTCCTTCAGAGGGAAGGCACAAACCCCAGGCACCTTAAATCTCACAATAACGTCAAGCTGGGGGGTGAGGGGTCATCAACCTGCAGATGGGGAAATTCAGTGCTTGAGAGAAAAATGCATCTCCAATAATAAGCTAGCCTGCTGACAGGTGGGTGGCTGGGATCCGACCCTTGCCATTTCCTCCTGTTCTAAATCTACTAGCTTAGAACACAGATTTCTGGGCAAATGCTCACAGATTGAATCCTAATGCACGCATCTGGCTAACTAACTTAGCCTTTCCATTTTATGTCTCAAATCCTAAGTGAAAATTATAGTAACACCCATCTCATAATGCTCTTTGGGGGAACAAATGAAATAATAAATGGAAAAATGTTCAGTACTGGGAGCACCTGGCACAAAAATGCTCAATGAAATTCAGGTATGGGTTCTCATCAATGAAAAATGTTCTTACTGTAAATGTAAGCTGTCACTTTTTGAGTATGCATATTGCAAATCATTCCTAGTGGAAATTATGAATTGGATAGCTAGAAAACCATGAGTCCTGAAACAGTACCGCATTTAGACAGAAGGGTGCATCCACTGTGTTTTCACAGTCAAAATATTTTTCCCATTTGGCCTTGAAGTAAACAGCATTCACCAGTACCAGCACAGTCCCAGCATCAATAATGTCCTTGCTGAAGAGTTCCTTGATTTTACCTAAAAAAAGATCCCAGAAAATATCCTGAGAATGAATTGTATCAAAAGTATTCATGTAGATAATTTTTTTTTTTTTTTTGAGATGGAGTTTCGCTCTTGTCTCCCAGGCTGGAGTGCAATGGTGTGATCCTGGCTCACTGCAACCTCCACCTTCCGGGTTCCAATGATTCTCCTGCCTCAGCCTCCCAAGTAGCTGGGATTACAGGCACTCGCCACCATGCCTGGCTAATTTTTTTTAATTTTTAGTAGAGATGGTGTTTCATCATGTTGGCCAGGCTGGTCTTGAACTCCTGACCTCAGGTGATTCTCCCCGCTTGGCCTCCCAAAGTGCTGGGATTACAGGCATGAGCCACCACACCCAGCCAGTAACATTTTTCAATGCAGCTTATGACCCCCAAGACTGGGGAGTGTCTCGTTCAAGAACTAACCTAAGAAGATTAATTCATAGTCCTGGATGGACATAAGGGAGGGGGTGATGGGGCAGGGGAAAGACCCTCTCACTCCACCCTGTAAGAGTCCAATCACAGCACTGTAACAGAAGGAATCTTTTTTGATTCCTTGTATTGCTCGTGTTTGGAACTTGTCATTAGACATCTATACTATGGTTTATCTTTGAAATTATATATTCAGTCATCTGACAATATGATAAGCTCCCTTGAGAACAAAGAACCACAACATAAACTTCCTGTCTCAAGCACTCAGCATAGCATAGGATATATGCTTACATATAAACAAAAATACACATAAATGTGCTAGGCCATGACATGAAACCTATTTTATAGATACTTTCACATTCCCTTTCTCATTCCATCCCACATTAATCACGAGAAGGAGGAATTGTTATGTCCTCTTCACAGAAGAATATATTGCATCTAGGAAGAGCTGAAGTCACACAGCCAAGAAGCAGTAAGACTGGTGGGAGCAGGTCCTCAGGCCTTCCACCTTTGGGCTCAGCTCTAGGGCTCCTTCCACAGCCCTAAGGCCAATTTGAAAAGCCCCAAGCTAGCAGGCAATAGCCCAGCTTCCGGGTATACCCTTTTCTGACTCAAACTACGAAATAGCCAGTTACTTGAATGCCTGCAGATGTCTTAAGAAGAAAAGATCTTCCATTTCAAGAAGAGCTCTACTTAAATCAGATAATAATGGATAAGGTTGGCATCATCTATGTTTAAAAGTACTCTGGAGGAGTTAACTCACTAAGGGGAAAGTACATATTCAGGCCTTAATATGAACTTTTTTAATGAATTGCTTTCCTTTTGACAGCTAAGTACAGCCTTGAAGGGATGGTCATTTTTGTGGCACTTGAAAGAAGAAAGTAGCAATAATTTTGGAATTTAGAGATTTCTTCCAAGGAAAGGCCACACAGGGGTATCCCATCTGGAAGTCAGTGTGAGAAAAACAGGCAGGGAGAGAAAGTCACCAAATGGAAGGGAGAAATAGAAAGTGTCCCACTGGTACGAAAGAGAGCCTAAAATAAGTCAGCTATCATTTCCCGGTCTCCAGTCACTCAGAACTGGTGCAAATGCCTGGGGTCACAGTCTCACTCTGAAGGCAGAAGATGCAGGACACTACCCGTGCTCTCTCATGCACCCCAAACTTTTCACTGCACATGAACAACTTTGCCATCTCCACAGTGGTGATCAAAAAAGGGCCTAGTCTGTGTCCAGCAGCCTGACCTGACCCTTCAGGTTGCTAACTTTATGCCTGGAGGAAAGAGTTTATTCTGTTTTTCAGATTCACACAGGCACTGGCAGAAGGGAGCATTCTCTAAGCCCCACCTAGAAGATCAGCACCAGTGAGTCTGGTCTCCTCCCTTCTTTCCCACCCAATGCCAGTAAGACCAGAGACCAAAATAGCAACATTAAATAACATCAATATCTAAGCAGTTTAACTGTTCGATGCTTTTCAGATCATGGTTTTTTGTTGTTGTTGTTTTTTTTTAATTTCAACTGTTATTTTAAATACAGGGAGTCCATGTACAGGTTTGTCATGTGGGTATATTGCACACAGGGAGTAGGCATAGTACCCAATAGGTAGTTTTTCAGCCCATTCCTCTCTTTCCCTCCCTGCCCTGGTAGTGTCTGCAGGGTCCATTGTTCCTTCCCATATTTATGCCCATGTGTCCTCAATGTTTAGCTCCCACTTATAAGTGAGAACACGCAATATTTGCTTTTCTGTTCCTGTGTTAATTCACAGGATTATGGCCTCTGTTTCCATCCATGTTACCTCAAAGGACATGATTTCATTCTTTTTTGTGGTTGTGTAGTATTCCATGGTACGTATGTAACACATTTTCTTTACCCAATCCACCATTGATGGGCAGTTAGGTCAATTCCATGTCTTTGCTATTGTGAATAGCGTAGTGACTAACATATGAGTGCATATGTATTTTTGGTAGAATGTTCCATATTTTTTGGATATATACCAAGTAATGGGATTGCTGGGTCAAATGATAGCTTTGTTTTCACTTCTTTGAGAAATTTCCAAACCGCTTTCCACAATGGCTAATTTACATTCCCACTAATAGTGTATAAGTGTTCCCCTTTTCTCTGCAGCCTTGCCAGAATCTGTTGTTTTTTAACTTTTTAATAACAGTCATTCTGACTGGCGTGAGATGGCATCTCATTCTGCAAACCGTGCTTTGAACACAGTCCACATATGTGAACCTCTGGTCCACAACAGAGCAGCAATCTGCAAAGTTAGGCAGACTGATTTTCTTTTAAACAGAAACCAGCATCAGCTCCCATGCTTTTGGGCTTTCTTACCTTGGGATTGACATTCAACCCAGAAGTTAATCTCTTGTCTGGATTTTTCAGCGTTTTTTCGGAAATCAACACTTTCAATCGTCGTGTGGTAAAATTGAATCACACTATCTAAGTATTCCTGTACAATTGGAATAAAAAAGAAACAGTGCAATAAAATCAGGCAATGATGCTTGTAGTTAGGAGTGAGGCTCTCCAGAGAAGCCTCCCAAGAAGGATGAGCCTGGTCATTTCACATCGCAGGGACAGCCCTAACAGTGTCTATCCATCTCCAGTCTTAAACTAGCCAGAGACATTTCAGTTTTCACAGTGACAAATGAGGATATCAAACATTATTGATGAACAGTCTATAGTTACAGGGGGACAAGCCTTTTCTACTGGATATCTTTTTATGTAAACAACCCATCTGTGGAGCCATCACAAGGTAAATATCAGGTAACTTGAGAGATTTGGCTGGAAAATGCTTCTGTTTATAAGAATTCACCCCCTGCTTAATGGTTGCAGAGTTTCTGTTTGGAGTGATGAAGAAAAAAGATTTCAGAAATATATAGGGTGATGGTTATGCAACATTGTGAATGTAATTAATGCCACTGAAATGTACACATAAACATGGTTAAAATGGTAAATTTTATATGTATTTATTGTAATTTTAAAAAGTCAGTAACATAATATAGCAAACTCATTGGTTTATATACTTTTAATAGGTAAATTGTTTAATATGTGAATTTATATCTCATAAAAAAAAGCTAGTTTTTAAAAACCCAGTATGAAAAGTCTTATTTTCATTGCAAGGGAACACACTTATTTTGGCCAAAGGAAGCCATCCAACCCCTGGCTAGTCCCCCAGTAACCAGCCATGTCACGTCTTTGTCATTGGTCATATTTCCCACATTTATTGTTTAGCACATGGCCCCTTCTAGTGATTCAAGAGGAAACTGAAGCCCAGATGGAGACACAGTTTGCTCTAGATACAAAGGTGTTTAGCCACAGAGACAAGTCCTGTGCTTTTTTAGCTCCGAATGCCAGAATGCCATCTTCTCCTGCTACCCGACTCTCAAAAGAGCACAGTGAACACAACTGCATTGTGGGGGTAGCCTGATCCTGGCACAAAAGGAGATTCTAGAGAAACATCTTGGGGGCAACCCACCAGATGAGGGAGAGAGAAGTGCAGCAACCAGGCACCTTGACTGGGAAGACAGTCAAGAGAGGATGCTATTACCAAGCCCACACGTGCTTCAAAGGCTCCGTTACTCACACAACCCTCTTCCACTCCCTGTATTCCACCCACAATGGGCCTCGTAAATTGCTCATGTTGAACACTGGGAAGAAGAGAACAAAAGCGTGGGGCTGAGAGAGGGAGGTCCTGGACACCTCACCAGTTCACAGCACATCATCCTGTCAAAAAGATTTGTGTTCTAGATGGCAGGTAAGTAACCCAGCGACTCCCTGATTTTTAAATAGTATGCTACAGGGTAGCTTTAGTCACCTTTTATGTGCAACTCACCTGAGAGATTAGGAATTCCTGATCTCCATAAAGCCTGTTGGCAATACTCAGGGTGTAATCAGTCTTGATCCTATCTAATTTGGAGAGAAGCTGCCCAAAGTAGCAGCTGAGCAGTCCATTCTCATTGTTTAAGGACTCATCCTAAAGAAAAAAGAAACAAAATGTGACTTCACTGCATCTATCGGAAGAGCCAAACACCACTAATGGATGGGTGTTTCGTACAGAAGCAAGATAGAGCTCCTCAGGGAGATGTCAGTTGTCTGTGCTACTATGCAGGGGTAGAGAGCTGGGAGGAACACAGGAATGCAGGGTGAGAAGTGGTCCCAGTGGAAGATTATGGCTCCTGCATCTATATCAAGATCATCCAGGAAAAATACATCTGGGGAACTCAGCAACACTCATTATATTTCATACTGACATGCCCTGATTTTTTATTTCTTTTTTTGTTGTTGTTGTTGTTGTTGTTGTTGTTGTTGTTGTTGTTGAGATGGAGTCTTACTCTATTGCCCAGGCTGGAGTACAGTGGCACAATCTCAGCTCACTGCAACCTTTGCCTCCCGGGTTCAAGTGATTCTCCTGCCTCAGTCTCCCGAGTAGCTGGGACCACAGGCATGTGCCACCATGCCCAGCTAATTTTTATATTTTTAGTAGGGACAGGGTTTTACCATGTTGGCCAGGATGGTCTCAATCTCTTGACCTCGTGATCTGCCTGCCTCGGCCTCCCAAAGTGCTGGGATTATAAGCATGAGCCACTGTGCCTGTCCTCTGATTTTATTTATATTTAAAAATATAAAAGAGGCCAGGCACAGTGGCTCACACCTGTAATCTTAGCTACTCTGGAGGCTGAAGCAGGAGAATTGCTTAAACCCAGGAAGCAGAGGTTGCAGTGAGCCAAGATTGCACCATTGTACTCCAGCCTGGGTGACAGAGTGAGACTTCGTCTCAGGGGAAAAAAAAAAAAAAAGGCAATCATCTCTCCACCCTCCTCTTAAACTTTCTAAGGCAGGGGGACATATACCTTGGAGAATATCTTCCCTCCTACTGGGATGAGGCAGCCAATAAAATTTTTGTCTGTCAGTACAGATTTCAGTACCAAATGGAACAAGCAGAGGTGGCGGGAGACAGTAAGAATTCCACAGATGACCCTACCCCTTACCCCTTTCATCTTCGACCATGCTCTGTGTTAGGGCCCTGTGGCCTGTAGAAGCAGATGAGGGGCAGGGTAATGATCTAGATTTCTTTATCATAAGCAGAAGATACCAAATCCTACTCTTTAGGAAACTAGCATAGCCAAGGACATCTGGGATGCATACTCAGAAAGGAATCACAGATCACATGGGGTTATTGCTGTTGATGGTATCTAGAACCTAATGTTAGGGGATAAGCAACTATCACCAAATAGCATAGAGCCACAATAAGCAGTTTGTAAATAAGAAGGGCAAAAGTTTACAGTGGCGGCTCACCTGCTGATCCAGAGGTTCTGTCGCTTTTTTCTGCCCCTCCAGAGAGCTGTCAGCCAGTACTTTTTGTTTGTTGCTTTTCAGACAGGGGTCAGGTTCTTTGCTTTCATTCTGGGAAAACTCATTGAAATGTAATACCTGCGTGATAATGGGATGAGGTCTTTCAGACAATACGAACGGAGGGAAGCCTGAGTAACTTCAGAAAAATTTTCATAATGAGACAGTAACAATGATTACATAGTCAAGCAAAACAATCAACAACTGTTTAAAGGAAACTGGGTGCTTCTGTCCTTGGGTTGGGAGGAGAAGTGGAGATGAAGAACCAACTACCCTGGGACAGCATTTATGAATAAATACAACCAAACTAAAAGAATATAGAGGTATCCACAAGCTAAATGTAGCTATGGAGCATTTGATCGATAACCAATCTGAATTGACTGTAAGTGCAAAATACACACCAGATCTTGAAGATAGCACGAAAATCAAAAAATAAAAGAGCTCACTAAAATTGTTATATTGATTATATGTGGATATGATATTTTGCATATACTAGGTTAAGTAAAATTTATTATTAAAATTAGCCTCACCTGTTTCTTTTTACTTTTGTAAGGTAGCTATTAAAAATTTTTAAATGACTACGTGGTTCTTGTTACATTTGTGTCAGACAGTGCTGATCTAGAGTTTCACATGAGTCAAGGGAGTGAAGACAGCAAAAGACAAGCTATCCAGACCTGGTAGAAAGGTAGGAGGCAGGTGTCACTTCCTGCACTGCTCACACCCAGCTGGTTGGCAGGTGCCCTCAAGTGCCTGAGAAAGAATGTCTGAATTCTGCCCTGCAAGATGCAAACCATACTCTAAAGCTAAGTTTTGATAGTGGAATAAGAAAATAACATACTGCACACGTACTGCAGAATTTAAAGTATAATAAAAAATAAATAAATAAAATTTGGGGGAAAAAAGAAAATAATACACCAAATCTAAGTAGATGAATAAAGCAGAATGACCCCAGAAACATATGCTGCCTTAATCCATAAATTCTACTCCTCCATCTTCAGGGAAAACAGCCTGATTTGTACATAATCCCTATGTCATGTGCTACATCCAAGGAAGCAGAGGCCAACCTCGGAACGTGTAGTTTATTTGGGGACTTGTCCTATAAGCTTTATTTATTTTTTCTAGAAATGTTTATTAGATGCCCACTGTAAGCCAGGTGCTGTACTAGGACAAAGATACCTGCCCTCTAGGGCATACTCAGAAAGGAATCACAGATCACATGAGGTTATTGCTGTTGATGGTATCCAGAACCTAGAGTTTAGGGTTAAGCAACTATCACCAAATATCCTTGGTGGAGGAGGCATGCAAAAATCAAGACACATAGTAATTAATTACTGTATGCTGTATGTTAGATAGTGAGAAACGCTACATGAAAAAAAGTATCAAGGATTCCTTATGGGTTAGAGGTCAGGATGCAGCATTAGATTGGGAGGTCAAAGTAGACCCCACAGAAGAGATAAACACGGATCAAAGTCTTGAAGAAGAAATTGAGCTAAGGTCAGCTACCATGGGAAAAAGCCATCAGGCAAAGGGACCCAGAGCAAAGGCCTCAAGATAGGATGGGCATGGCTTACCCAAGGAAGCCAGGAGGCCGGTGTGACAGCACAGTGAGGAGGGATAAGAGTGAGAGATGGAGTCATGGGGCTTGTCTGGGATTCATCTCCCAAGATCCTTGTGGGCCATTGTAAGGACTTAAACGTCTATCATGAGTGAAATGAGAAATCCAGGTTTTTGAACAGATGGAAAACAGAATCTGACTCAGGTTTTAAAAAGGTCTCTCGGGCTGCTCTGCTAAGAACAGACTGCCAGTGAGAGCAGGAAAGGCCATCAGGAGGCTGTTGCACTAGACGGGTGAGAAAATATGGTGGTGGTTCAGACCTCAGGGAGACTGGGAGAAGTACCTGGGTTATGGATATATTTCAAAAGAAAAGCCAACAGAATTTTCTGACAAAGGTGGTATAAAGTGAAAGAAAGAGTCCAGGAGGACACCAAGCCCTCTAGCTACTGGATACATATATGGTGCTTAACAAATATTTATTTAATGAAATGAGTGAGAGAGAAGACATATACACAAACTAAAATTTGCTAACAATATTGGTATTAGTAATCATAGAGTAAAAGAGTGACAGACATGCATATAGAGATGGAGATAAATGAGAACAGCTGCCACATGTGAGGTTGGGGAGCACCCTAAAGAAGGTAGAACTTCAACTGAGCCTTTAAGAACAGTAGGATCGAAGAGGAAGTAAGGTGGGGGAAATACAGATAAAGACTCAGAGACAGGGATGGGTTCTGACCACGCCCAGGGTGCAGCAAGCCCCTTGGCTTGCCTGAGTGAGATTAGCGTCTGACTTTTGAGTATGGACCCAGAGTTCAGGACCCTGTGTAGCACCATAGCGGATACGTACCTCATCAATCTGATGCGCACTGTCATTTCTAGCCCCTAGGCGGACCATACCAAGGGCAGCTGAGAGGCTCAGGGGAGAGAAAAATACGTTTTTACGACGATCAACTTTGCTTATCTCTTGGAAAAGATCAAAGCAAAATTTGGTGTTTGCTGCAACAAGGGAGTCCATTGTAAAACTTATAACAATCTAAAACAAAAAAAAAAAGAAGAAAGAAAATGGTGATTGAAAGAAAATAAGTGAACAAATAATTCTTGTTTTATATACCTGAAATACAATCATGTAATTACTCAGTATGCTATTAAGAACTGGAAAACTAAAGTCTTTATCATCCCTGTATATAAATATTGGTGTTGATATTAATATTGATAGAGATATTAATTAGTAATTAATTACTGTATGCTGTATGTTAGATAGTGAGAAACGCTACATGAAAAAAAGTATCAAGGATTCCTTATGGGTTAGAGGTCAGGATGCAGCATTCGATTGGGAGTCAAAGTAGACCCCACAGAAGAGATAAACACGGATCAAAGTCTTGAAGAAGAAATTGAGCTAAGGTCAGCTACCATGGGAAAAAGCCATCAGGCAAAGGGACCCAGAGAAATATTACTAATATTTTCATTTAGTAGTGTGAATTTGTTTTCTGTGGCTGCCATAAGAAATTACCACAGATGAGTATTTTAAACAGTGGGAGTTTATTTTCCCACAGTGCTGGGGGACAGACTTCCAAAATCGAGATGTTGACAGATTTGGTTCATTTCGAGACTCTCAGGGAAAATCTGTTTCATGCCTCTCTCAGTTTCTGGTGGTTGCCAGCAAACCTTGATGTTCCTTGACTTGCAGACAAATCACTCAAGTCTCTGCCTCAATCTTCACATTCTTGTCTTTATCTTAAATGTGTTATCCAAGTTTCCCTCTTCTTTTAAAGATAGCAGTCATTGACTTAGGGCCCATCCTAAGCCAGTACAACCTCTCCTAATTTTATTAATCTCCAAAGACCCTATTTCCAAACAAGGTCATATTCACAGGTCGAGTGATTAGGACTTAATCCATGTTTTTAGGGGACACAATCCTACCCACTATGTGGTGGAACTGCCTGTATTCAGGCAAAATGGAGCCAAAGGCTAACACTCTTTATGCTCAAGTTAGCAGCCAAGCAAACATTACCCCATCTCATTCTTCTCCACAGATTGTGACTGGTTCTGCTTACATCTTTTACCTGTATTCTCCCTTTGTTGCTCTGTGACTGAGGTTATGCCCAGCAAATTCCATGGGCCATGGCCCTTGTTAACATTCTCACCCCCGTTTGACTCATCCCACATGCAAACTACAGAACTTGAGGCACTTTGGTCAGTCATTCATATTATTCAAGCCATAGTAAATTTGAATGATGCCAGGGATTTTGATGTCACCAAGTGTACTAGTCCATTTTCATACTATATAAAGAAATACCAGAGACTGGGCAATTTATAAAGAAAAGAGTTTTAATTGACTCACAGTTCCGCATGGCTAGGGAGATCTCAGGAAGCTTACAATTGTGGCAGAAGGAGATGAAGCAGGAAGTACTTTCTTCACCAGACAGTAGGAGAGAGAGGAAGAAAAGGAGGAACTGCCAAACACTTACAAAACTACCAGATCTCGTGAGAACTCACTCACTATCATGAGAACAGCATGGGGGAAACTGCCCCCATGATCCAATCACCTCCCACCAGGTCCCTCCCTCGACATGTGGGGATTATGGGATTACAATATGAGAGGAGAATTGAGTGGGGACACAGAGCCAAACCATATCACCAGGCTTGGTGTCCTCTTTGGCAGCATGGAAGCACAGATAATACAGAACCAAGTAAGACGGTGACTTCCCTAAGAACAGGTATCTTGCCTTCCCCACCCAATCTATTCCAGAGTATCAAGAGAATATGTAGATCTCACCACTGATCTATTCCTCTCAGAGTAAATGCCTTTTCTTTTGTCTCTTTGCCTATGGATATTGTGTATTTCCAAGATAGAAATGTAAACCCTCTTATTTGTGTTTTTATCATCAGATATGGCACACCATAAGCATAAAGAAATATTGCTGCAGTGAATGGAATGGTGTACTTTGTTTTAATACTTTCCCAGTTAATATAGGCTTTTTTAGCTTGTAAAACCTAATTCAAAAGATAACATTATGTAACTTTTTAAAAAATGTGTCTAATGTGTGCTAAGTGTCTTCCATATGTTACCTTTAATCCTGCAACTCTGCAAGGTAAATATGATCATTCCCTCTTTTTCAGAAAAGAAAACTGCAGAATCAAATAGCACATATATTTGGCCCAAAACTAAGTACTCTTTCTACTGTATCTATTATTTCTAAGTTGCCCCTCAACTGATGATAGGTGATCAAATACATGCCTACTATATGTGGGTACGTCTCTTCCTTATTCAGCTTATAGTGCATTTTATTCTGACATTTTCTTTCTGCCAAGTTTGTACCTGACTCACAGGTCTCATCTTGCATCTGTGAACAGGGTTTGAGACCTACTTTGTATTTTCAAACTAATTTGAGGGTAACCATAGAACATCAGAATTTTTTCAGGAGCATTCTGCCCTAATTGATGGGTGTTTTTTGAGTAATGGATGTCCCGGATGTGTCTGGAAATTCAGTAATGCCTCACATCTCAGAAAGCTACTCTTAGATATGTTGTTAAACATCTTCATGTCCAATATATTTTCTCTACATGTGGCTCACATTACCCATCTAGTAACAAGTCTACCAAGAAAGAAAAGAAAAACAATAAATGAAAGATGGTCAGAGTTGGGGGGATTTCACAGGTTTTTGATTAATGATAAACTTTTGTATGAAATGTAGTCTAGTATTTTTTTAAATCTTGGTTGTACAACTTAGGTTGATGTTTGATCAAAATCTTCAGCAACAAAGGAGGAGAAGGTAAAGGGCATTCTGGCCATTTGGTTATCACTATTAAAGGAAGACTAGAGCCTGACTATAGTGAAGAAAAAGAAGGGGTTGGACAGAAAGACTGAATGATCCCAACCTGCCTGGCTCTTCAAATGTTCCAGCTAACCCCTTGGCTTCACCCCTGCTGCCTTCTGGCATCAGAGTAGAAGGTGTTGTTTTCTGGCATGAGCACTCCTAGAACTAAATGATCAGAGTCTTGCCTGCTTTAGAAAGGACATGACTACTCATGCAGGCCAACTCCCTGCTTCTCAAGATAAAAAAACTGAGGCCGGATGAGATGAAGTGACTTGCAACAATCATGCAGCTCATGCAGCTGGCCAGAAGCAAAGCAGGGCTAAGATTTCATGCCCAGGGCTGCTTCCTCCTAGATCACACAGCTTTTCATATTCCATCTAATTCTGGCACTACACTTACTCTGTGGGCTGCAAAACACTCCAACACTCTCTCTGCCCATTTCTTCATCAAGCTTCTACAAGCTTTGTGAACTACTTTCCAGGAGTGCTGTGATGCTCTTCCCCCCAGCAACAATTCCCTTTTCTGAGTGTTACCTGGCTCTAAGCTTTCATTACAATTGTGTGCAGCTTTAATGCTGCCTCATCTTCCAATGGAGTTGAAGGAACAACAGTAACAGAAAACAACCAAAAACAAACAAACAAACAGCCGGACAGTTGCTGTTAAAGTTGTATGACTACATGTAAGCACTTTTAATAGGAAGATCTTTCCTGGCTTTACACACAAGTCTAAAACATAGCAAATAACGAACATTTAATGACTTGATTAAAATGTTATCTGCTAATCACCTTCTGAGGGGTTGTCTGTTTTTTTTTTTTTTTTTTTTTTTTTTTTGCAGGGTGGGAAATCAGAAACTGCCTAAATCTGACCCCAACCTAATTATGAAGTTCTCCCACTGGGTTAGTCACTATATATAAAAGGATGGGCTGAACAAGACACAGTCTCTGCCTTTGAGAATCTATGACCTAACAGAGCAGATAGTGGATTCACAGCTTCAGGAGTAGAGTTTAAGAAGCATAGAAGAGTAAGATATTAATTTACAAAAATGAAATAGGAAAGGGAAAGGTATTTTGTAGGAAGCACTCATTAAGATGTAGTTGTTCTAATAATGCAGATTCAAATAGGCAACTTAAAAATATAGCACTTTAAAAATACTGTTAAACTTTTTAACATTGTTTTTATTTACTAAAAATATGCTTAGACTACTAGTAAAAGTCATGTTGTTATGTTATGTTATGTTATGTTATGTTATGTTATGTTATGTTTGTTATGTTGCTGCAATTAAAAAGAAAAAGAAATTTAAGGTTAGTTGTCTTGTCCTTATCAAAAATCCCTTTGAAACCAGACTAATTGTTCCATAGAAGTGAGTTTATGGCCTTTACGAATAAACGTAGAAATTAATCTCCTGGCTGGGCGCCGTGGCTCACTCCTGTAATCCCAGCACTTTGGGAGGCCAAGGAGGGCAGATCATGAGGTCACAAGGTCAAGAGACCAAGACCATCATGGCCAACATGGTGAAACCCTGTCTGTGCTAAAAATATAAAAATTAGCTGGGTGTGGTGGTGTGCACCTGTAGTCCCAGCTATTTGGGAGGCTGATGCAGGAGAACTGCTTGAACCCAAGAGGCAAAGGTTGCAGTGAGCTAAGATCATGCCACTGCACTCCAGCCTTGTGACAGAGCGAGACTCCATCTCAAGAAAAAAAAGAAAAAGAAATTGATCCTCTTGGTCTTAAAGCTTGAAACTTACATTTGTCTTATCTCAATTCCTTCCTCAGGAAACCGATCTGAAGGCCTCTCAGAGAGTATCAAGCAACTGAAATTCACATTATAGCATGCACAGAGATGGCAGAACCCTCACTCATCTTGATTGCTTTCTTTCACTTCCCTAATTCTTTTTTTCCCATATGCAGCTACATTCCTTCCCCACTGTAAACCCCCAATCTTAGTAAGTTGAGGGAGACTGATCTGAGATTTATCTCCCATCTCCTTAGCTGACATCATCTGATTAAAGCCTTCTTCCCTGGCAACACTTGTTGTCCTAGTGATTGCCTCTCCGTGCAGTGAGCAACAGGACACAGACCAAACCCCTGGCATTTTAGTAACACCTATTACATGGATACTAATTTGAAAATAGTAATGACTAAACCACAAATTCCAAATCCATTGTATTCAAAACAGGATCGACTTAGCAAGAAATAGAAAAGGTGGAGATCTAAACATTGTAATACTAAAATGTAATTGTAAGAGAGATTTCTCAAAGGTATGTAGCAAAATCACCTTGAGAAATTTTTTTTAATATTTACAAATATTTTCATAGCAACACTTTCATAATAGCCAAAACTCAGGAACAATGCAAATGTTCATCATTAGCAGAATAAACAAATTGCATGGATCTCACATCACATCATAACATAATGTTGACTAAAAGAAATCATGCATGCAGCCTGACCAACAGGGTGAAACCCTGTTTCTGCTAAAAATAAAAATTATCTGGGCATGATGGTACATGCCTGTAATCCCAGCTACTTGGGAGGCTGAGGCAGGAGAATCACTTGACTCTGAGAGGTAGAGGTTGCAATGAGCCAAAATCACACCATTGCACTCCAGCCTGGGCAAGGAGAGTGAAATTCCATCTCAAAAATAAGAAAGAAAGAAAAAGAAATCATACATGAAAACTTTCATGCTCTATAATTCCATTTACATAAAGTTCCAAAACTGACGAAACTAATCTGTGGTTTTAGAAGTCAAGAGAGTGGCTACCCTTAAGAATGGGTGAGGAGAACTGTGGTTAGCCACAGGTAGAAGCAGCAGACTAGTGAACTGACTCCCAAAACGCAAAAATCAACAAAAATCCATTATTCACAAGTTTGCTGATTTCTATGGTGTAAATAACCCACAGCCAACAAAATACCTGATCAAACTGCCAACAAAATACCTTTGTACCCAGAGATAGAAAAAGATGCACAGAATTACGCATAATTAGCTCTTATGAGCTGGTGTGAGCTGGCTCCAGGACACCACGTAAACTAGGCATGAAGGAGACTTCTAGGAAGCTGGTACTGGTTCCTTTCTTGATTGGAGTATTGTTTACACATTAAACTTACACTTATTTCTTACTCACTTATGTATTAATATGTGTGTGGAGGTATATATGTATAAGGTTTAATTTTAAAATGTATCCTAGGTATATTACTAAACATGGCAGTTAATTTTAAGTCATTGCAACTTTGTGTTTAACACAACGGCTAAGAGTACTGTATATGGAAAAATTGAAGAGAAATTTTTCACAGTAAAATTTTGGCTCCAGATGCATTTAGGGAATGCTCCCCAAGCAGTCTCAGGCCATACTTGGTGTTTACTCTGGAAAGTATCCACCATACAAACAAGTGACTGTTTGATTGAGTCTAAAGGCAATTGCTGACACAGGCTGCCCCTTAGTAAGCTACAACTTGGAAAACTTGTATGCAATTTGCTTCAGTCATCATTATTTTCCAACAGACTTGAAATAACCTCTTAAAATAGTAAGGTCACCCAAAAATTCATTCAGCTTAAGTAATTAGTGCTAACTCTACCCACAATGACATTATAGTACCAAGAGCTACTGTTTAATTTGAGCTTGTCATATGCCTGGCATTTCACAAATATTGTCTCTATTTTTTAAAAAATCCTGTAAGTTAGAAATAAACTTCATTGTACAACCAACTACTATGTGACACAGGTGTTATACAAATCAGTTCATTCGGTCAGATTTCAAAGCCACCCTCTTTCCTCCTATAGCAGGTCACCCTCTGGAGAAGATAACACTAGGGCTCACAAAGGCCACGCCCTGAGTGAGCACCATGTGGCTCTTTGGGATGCAGATGCCACCAGCAGATCCATGTCTTGACTGAGCCTCTTACCAAGACCAAAGGTTGTAGAAAGGACCTCCTAGCACTGAGAGTCCATCTCAGGATGGCCCTGAACTCCCTCTCTGGAAGGTGCATCTCAAGCTCCAGTTTGCTCTCCAAAGATTCCTACAATCTCTTTGGAGGTTGCTTCTCTAGACTGAAAATTTAGTCAAAAAATTCTTCTCAAATTGCATTGAAATCTGTGCAAATGTATGATAAATATAGATTGAGATTTCAAGATTGCAAACAACGTTAGCCGAATTGGGAGTGACTTACAGTATCTCCCATTTACTGTCCCCAGTGTCACCTCCTACTGAACATAGCTATATAAGAAAGATGATAAGCAGTTCTTAGAAGAAAAAGAAAAAAAATCACTTTTATATCAATACAGACACTATCATATTTTTGCCTATAACATTTTCCAAGTATTTATTTTCTATTATTATTATTATAGAATTGTTTTTACTTTTATTTATTTAAAATTGTCAATATTTTCTGGTGCTCTCTTTTATCACTTCAAAACCTTGAAAGTAATGTATTTTCAACTTAATTTTAAAACTTCATCTACTTTAAATTTTTTACAAGAAAGAAAATCTTTCCTCTAAGATTTTAACTTACATTGTTAGCTTTGAAGATAATTTTAAATATTAATTATCTGAAATGTGTAATATTTTTAATTTTTTTAAAGATTTTTTTCCCTTTTTTATGGCTTTTGAGGCATCAACACATGATCTGTTTTGTTTGTTTTCTTTCTTTCTGGCTTTATTACTCACGTAAAACTTTCTTCCACTTTCCTCCAAACTCTCCCTCCAAAGAGTTAATTAGTCACCACTGCATACAATACCCACACAGCATTTGTTTCCCTTACCTCCTCTGTCACATTGTAAGGTACTTATTTTTTTATACTGCTGTCTTTACTTCCAAAGCATAATTGTCTTGAAGATAGGTTCAATGTTTTTAATTCATCTTTGTATTCCATCAGTAGAGAACACAATGGCAGCACATGACAACACTTCATAAAATTTATGCATTGATTTGCTATCATCTACCCATTTTTCATTGTGGATAATCCTAATATTTGAAATGTTAGAAAATTATTTAGTATTTCATGTTAACTTTGTATATTCTGCAGGCAGCTGTAATTAAAAGAGGTTCTGCATAAGAGAATCAGCTTTTTGTTAATGTTTTACTATATAAGAAAAAGTTCATTTATTACCATATAAGAAACAGTTCATTTACTATATAAGAAAAAGTTCATTTATTACAATTTTCCGTTATAGTAAAAATGTAAAGATTTAGACAAGATAGATGTTCTAACAACCCAAAATATTCTGAATAAAACTGTTTTTCCTATATATAATAAGGAGAAAAATATTTATACTCCAAAATATTTCATGTTTTATAATTTCTATAATTCCCACAAAGCTACTAACACCTCAAGAATGAAATTCCAACTTTACACAAATAGATGCTATTCTGCTGAAATACATATTCAAACCAGGTTACGGAAAACTAAATGATAACCAATATCTCAAAACAAAGAAATATTTGTGAAAGATACCATCAAAAGTGTTTTCCAACTTATGGTGCAAAAAAAGAAATCTAAATTCACATTGTTTAAAATATAGATATTCTAAATATTATACCATTTTATATTTCCAGAAACAATTCATCAAAAAATATAAAATAAATCTGTCAAGTATGTAAAAGTTTAAAATTATTCAAACATCTACATTTTTTAAAAATCAATCATACACAGCAGGCATCTGACCAGGTGGTTGGGGCTGAGGGAGGCGGCGGATGTGGCAGTGAGGACTGCCACATCTGCAGAAATTCCAAAACATCATAAAACTGACTCTCTTTTTTTAAGTATTTGACTTAATTTTTTTTAAAGTATATCCTTCCATTTTAATCACATCTTTTTTGGGTTTCTATTCTTTAAAATGGTTTTCCAATGCAGTGTTCATTGTTAAAAATTATTGTTAGGCAATTCGAGCATTTACCTTCTCTCCTTCGGAGTTGCTGCTAACGGCTGGTCAGGTAAGTTCCATCCACACCCTGACAGGAATGGAGATGTATCGACTTTGCCCCTCCCCCATGGCACTTTTCCAGTGCCGTTTTGCAATCGAGAGTAAAAGCATCATTGATAGATTAAAGGGAAAAGAAAAAAAGCGGCATATACTTTTTAAAACAAATGCTATGCTTTCAGCTAAATTGAATATTTATCTTAATATGCTTATATTTTCTTTGCTCTTTCCAATTTATAGAGCCCTCAAAACAATGCTTGGCTCACATGTTTCAATTCAAATTTCTATACTAGAAGAAGGTGAAGCGGAATTGTATTTTACTTCATATACACATTGTCTTGGATGATCTCTTACATTTCAATTTTCATATTATTTTAAAATTCTTCTAAGATATTACATAGGATTTGCAGAATGTGTTTTAAGCTATTTCAAAGCCTTTGTTTTCCTGCAGCAGGTGTGTCGTAGGGATAAGAATTATTATTTGATTATTGACAAACATATTTTACAACTGAAAACACAAAACATTTTAAATTTAGCCAAAGCATGTTCTGATGTTACTTTTGGTTCTAGCACTCTGCAATCCTGTTATGTTACTGACCATAAACATGAGGGTCAGTGGACAGGGCAAAAAGTTTGGAACAACGAAGAGAGAGCTAGGAAGAGTCAAACTCCAGAAGCTAACATGACTTAAGGACAAAATGAAGACTCCTCCCTGACCTGGTTCTCCTATTGAGCCCTTTGTCTTCCTTTTCTAACTTGTTATCAGACAATATTATCTGAATCATGACCCTACAAATATATTAGGCACAGAGAAATTCAGAAGAAAACTTTTTAAAATAGAGAGATTGCCTTTATGGAAAATATAAGCTACTTATGTAGCTAGGGTATAAATGAAACAAGTAAAAAAACATTTTATAAGATATTGACCAGTGGAAATTAGTGACTAAGCATCCAGAGTTTTTCTCAATCCTCAATAGTAAGCATAGAAAAGAAATGTGCTGTTAGTTTTCTTTACTCCATGATCATTTGAAAATAATTATTTTTTTTCCTAAATTCTTCCACAAAATTCTAAAAACCAGTCTAGTCATTAGTTATGGTTTGCAAGAGGTTGGAAAATTTTAACATGTGAATTATTTAAGATCTTATGTCATTGATCACTACTTCACGTTGCCCATCACAACCTTTCCAAAAGGATATCCATTCACTTTCAGAACAGGATGGGTTCTTGCCTGGCTCCCTGGATATAGGGGTCACCTCTGTTACTATTGGGGCTACTATTCAAATTTCACTGGGCTTCTGGGTACCTGAGAAGATTATAAACTTGTTTGAATATCTTTAATCTAGGGTTGCATCTGTTTTTCCTTTCAAATAATTCAACAAACATCTAACCACAGATGACTGTGCCCTACAAGCCTAAAAAATTGGTATGGTGCGATTGCTCAATAAGTGATGATGAAACCCGACACTAAATGTAGCTAAGCATTAAGGTGGCTTGATAAATCACTAACAAGGGGATGAGAATTTCTTGAGCACTTACTAAATGCCAAGCTGCATTTGGTACTTCACACACATAATATATCATTGAATGACTGAAGAAAGTGAGCTTCTCTATTAGTAATGACTTCAAGTGCCAGGGAATTACACTAGGGTTTGAAAGAATTTTGGAGGTCAACTAGCCTGACAGTGCTATTCAAGGCAAGCCATTAAAAAAAAAAAGTTCTATGTCAACAGGCTGTAAAAGTAATGCTTACTTCATCAAGCATAGAATTAGATGGTTCCTCCTAGATATGTTACAACTCGGTATGAGTTATGAGCCAATCAATAAACCTTTCAGCTATTAGGCTTTTTCTGCCTGGAATTAAAAATTGAAGGATGCCAGAATGATTCAACAATCAGAGTCTTTGCCAGCTTATGATGCAAAATAATATGATTAATATTCCCTTTTGATAAAGGCAGTATTTTTGAAATATTATAAAGAAGATCTTTGACGTTTTACAACACAATATTGAAAAAACAAAACATGTTTGTAGGAAAAATATCAGCATAGACACTTTCAACCTAATGAAAAATGCATCATTTATCTAAAGCAGACAGTTTTCCTGATGTTCACCTTTTATCCTCCAAATTTAAGTCTTATATAAGAGGGAAAAAAATCTACTAAAACAACAAATAGCAACAATAATAAAGACTAAAACACAACAAACCCGTTTCATAACTTGTAATCACCCTTAATATATCAATTACCCCTTTCATAAAAGCCCTTAGTTCTTTCAGCTTCAAAACTGAAGTGTTTAGGATTGAAAATATGCCATCTGTTCACCCCAATATGACAGCAACACAGAGATCAAAGACAGGCAAAGCTATAATATAGCAAAGAACACACAGAGAAAGCAGTAAACTTACAATCAGAAGAACCAGACCCTGGGCTAAATCTTACTAGCCTGAGACCTCAGGCAACTACGTCATGAAAACTTCAAATTTCTCACCCATAAAAAAATAAAAATAATAATATGGTTTTCCAAGCTCTTATGTGTTTACAACTATTTATGTTGTTAATATAATTACATAGAATTAGTACTGCACAAAACTTTTTTAAATTTCCTAGCCAAATCTTTATAACATAACTATTTCTTCCAAAATTGTAAATCAGGGCTTCATCCTTCAACTGATGGCTTAGAAACTGCAGCCTGCAGGCCAGATTCAGCCTTCTGCCTGCTTTTGTAAATAAAGTTTTATTGGAACAAAGCATATCCATTCATTTATTATTGACTATGGCTGCTTTTGCTCTACAATGACAGCGTTGAATAGTGCTAGTAGAAAATAAATCGCATGGCTTGCAAAGCTGCAAATATTTACTGTCTGTCCCTTTACTGAAAAGTTTGCTGATCCCTGCTTTAAATGATGAAATACAATGGTTTTCAAAACCTATGAAGTTTTTATATCCTTAGATATATAATCTCTATTTACATAGAATAAATATTATAATATGCTAACAAGAAACATAGTTGCTTAAATCTAAAATGTACATTTTGGCCAGGTGCAGTGGCTCTCACCTGTAATCCCAGTACATTGGGAGGCCAAGGCCAGCAGATCACTTGAGGTCAGGAGTTTCAGACCAGTCTGGCCAACATGGCAAAACCTGGCCCCTACTAAAAATACAAAAATTAGCCAGGTGTTGTAAATTACAGGAGGCTGTAATCCCTGTCTCGGGAGGCTGAGGCAGGAGAATCGCTTGAACCCAGGAGTCAGAGGGTGCAGTGAGCCGAGATCATGTCACTGCACTCCAGCCTGGGCAACAGAGCAAGACTCTGCTCAATTAAATAAATAAATAAATAAATAAATAAATAAATAAATAAAATGTATGTTTTGATTAGATCTTAAGCAAAACTCTAACACCCTTCAGTATTATACTAAAATAATGGTCCAGACATTCATTTGTTGAACAATTATTTATAAAGTACCTACTATATTTATCAAGTGTCCGCTATTGAGTATACATCAACTCAATGAATTTTAAATTAAAGTGACTATCTCTGCATTATCATTCCTTTAGAACAAAGCATTCCACCATGAGGATCTCTCCTTTCGAGGGGATCAGTGGGAAAGGTACAGGTTAGGGTTAGAGCCTTTAGTTAAGGGGACTGTCATTGTCCCCACACTCATGATGCCTCATGCAGTAGGAGCTTACAGTCCAACAATATGACCTGCATTTAGATACAATAAACATTTTTTGAGGACCTAATATGTAACAGTCCTGATAAGTCAGAGAGACATTATTATCTCAATATGATGAATAAGAAAACAAGGACTCAGAGAAGGCCTTTAGTTGTTCATAATTATAATGCTAGAAAGTAGCAGAATGATCTAAATAAAGAAAATGTGGTACAGGCACAGCATGGAATACTATGCAGCCATTAAAAAGAACAAGATAATGTCCTTTGCAGCAACACGGATGGAGCTGGAGGCCATTATTTTAAGGGAACTCACACAGGAACAGAAAAACAAATGCCACAAGTTTTCACTTATAAGTGGGAGCCAAACATTGAGTTCGTATGGACACAAAGAAGGAACAACAGACACTGGGCCTACTTGAGGGTGAAGAATGGGAGAAGCATGAGAATCAAAAACTACCTACTGGGTACTGTGCTTATTACTGGGTGACAAAATAATCTGTACACCCATTGGCATGCAATTTACCTATATAACAAACCTGCACATGTACTCCCAAACCTAAAGTAAAAGTTAAAAAAAAAAGAAAGTAGCCAAAAAACTAGCGCCTCTCTGACTCTCTGATCCCGAGAATGAAGACTTGCAACACATATAGCTTTACTACCAGGACAACTAGCCCCAAAAGGCATCTCTACCAACAATAGCTTGTCCACCTCCCAGCACATACCTGGAAGCCAGTGAGGAGCGTCCCCAGCTAAGGTCTGTGCTCTAATGAAGTCAATTCAAAAGAATTTAAGCAGAGGAGGAACCAGGCAAGTCCTACAGCCTGTGAAAACTCAAAAGGAGAGGCATTGAGCAAGCAATTCTGTAACTTTAAATACTGGTTGTGAATCAGGACAATTAACATGTGAGCAGGAAAACAAGACATGCATTTATGGCCATCAATTCAACGAATTTTAAGTTAAAGTGATCATCTCTACATTGTCACTCCTTTAGAACAAAGCATTCCACCAGAAGGGCCTCTCTTTTCAAGGGGAACGGTAGGAAAGGAACAGGTTAGGGGTTAGAGCTTTAAATAAAGAGGAAGCATCATATCTCTCTCCCTTATTCTCCCTAAACAACTTACAGAACCCTCCAGTCACTGTGTAACACCATGAGTTCATAATTTGTAACAGAATACACAAAATCCAAGCAGAATATTTTTCGTAGCCTATCCCAATGCACACCACCAAATGAACTGAGTAGTGACAGAACTGTGAGGTTCTCAGCCAAGTATGAAGCTAGACTTTTCAGGTATTATGAACTGTTATTAGCTACTCTATCATGACTGCAACT